AATTATTCGTAAATAATCATCTGTATTTTTTAAATCAGAAGAAATAAAATCTATAAGTTTAGTATTATTAAATTGTCTCATATGTTGATTTTCAAGAGTACCATCATACATATGAACTGATAAAGATTCTATTAAAGATTCAGTTGAAAGTGATAAAATATCTGAAATATTTTTCCATTCTAATTTACGACTATTATAGCTAATTAAATTATTACGTAATTCATTAGATAATGCATTATTAAGATGATTAATTGAAATTAATCCAGTTTTAAAAAGAGAAACATTATTTGAAGAAACAAATAGAATTTTTAAAATATTAGATATACTATTAATTAATGTAGTTGCCATATGACATATTCTACTATTAGCAGTCATAGTTGGAAGTCTTGTTTGATAACAATCATGATAATCATCTATATTAATAATAAAAAGATTATTTAAATTATTTTGTAAATAATTTTGTACATATGTTTTATGATTTTTTTCCAAATCTATCATATTTGAATATAATTTTGAATAGCTTGAAATATATCCAAAATGTGATAATAAATTAATTGCTCTTTTTGAAAGTCCAGCTTTAAGTAAAAAACTTCCAATAGAATTTTTTATATTTGTAATTTTATTATTTTTTAGTCCAGCTAAATGATATAATAATAACATTATTCTAATTTTAAGCTTTTCAATAGATTTTAAGCTTTGATTATTATCAGATTTAAATGCATTAAAAAACATTAAAACAAATAGTTTTAAATTAGAAAAATTCATCATATCCATAAATTTATTTGGATCTGTAGGTGGAAAACATTTTTCTTCATATTGTTTTTTATATAATAAATTAGATAAATTTTCAATATTTTTTTTAAAATTATTTGAAAATAAATCTATTGATAGATTTTTTAATTTTTGTTCTAAAAGAAAAATTTTATTATTTAAATTATTTGTTTCAATATTATAATTATTTTGTATTTGATTATAATTATTTTCTAATTTAAGAATTTCAGATTTATGATAATTTTTTAAATATAATGTTTCATTTTCATAATGAGTTTTTAAATTTAAAATTTCATTTTCATAATAATTTTTTAAATTCATAATTTCATTTTTATCATTTTGTAACATTTTATTGTTTTTTTAAATTAAAAATTTCAATTTCATAATAATTTTTTAATTCTGAAATTTCTATAGAATGTTTATATTGAATTGCAACAATATTATTATTTAAATTTTCAATTATATTATTTAAATTATTAATTTTAAGAATATATTGTTTTTTTTCAAATTCTAATTTCAAAGCATCTTCTTTATATAGAACTAATTCTTGAAATACATGTATATCAATAGAGATTTTATTAGGCTGAGCTAGATATTTTAAATCCATTATTAAAAAAATAAAAAAAATTTTTAAAAAAATGTATTTATTTTGCTGACGATAGGTATTATTTTGCTGATGAAATTAAAGTGGATCAGCTAAGCTGACTTTTAAACAAGGAGCAAAAATTAAAAAAAAAATAAAAAAATAATAAGTATTTAAATATTTTTTATTTATTATGTATTATTTATTTTAAAATCATATACTATTACTATAATAATAATACTATACTATATTTATATATAATAACATCTCTTTGCATATAATCTGAAACATAAATATTGCTTTGTTTCAGATAAAAATAAATGTTTTAAATTTTATATTTAAATAAATTACTAAACTAAAACTTTTATAAAATATATTCACATAAAAGGTAAATACATATGAGTGCGTGAGAGGGAAAATGGCGCACCCGTTTTTTTTAGTAAATTATTGATTATTTAAAAAACGGATGCGTCATTTTCCCTCTCATGCACTCATATAAACAAGCATTTCTAATTAGATATTTTAATTGGATCTAACTAATATAGTATTTATACGTAGCTATTTATCTCCCTAAATGTAATATCTTGTAACTGCATATTTGATTACAATAAAGCAAAATTTTAAATCAAAAATTTAAAAACTCTTTCCGTCAATCACTTACACAAAATTTAACTAAAAATTCACCAGTATAAAATCCTTAATAACTCAATATTTTATTAAGATAAC